CACAATAATGACACCATCGACAACACGGCAGAAGAATAACTGTCCGAGAATAACTGAACAAAAAATAAATAAACGAGAAAATATGGAGCCCAATAATAATAATAATGGCTCAAGAAAATTTGTGCAAATCAAGTGTGACTCCGGCAAATGTTCTATGAAACATGGAAAAAATATTATAGCCAAATTCAGGACAGTTTCTTCAAAGGCTTGAAACACTAAGAAAGTCACGATTCAAAATGACACCAAGCGAGAATAATTTCCGAAACTTTATCGCAAAAACAATGTAAATAAATGAGCAATGAAATATTGAAAAAAGTAGGAATAGCGCTACTTGCAAAAGGTGACACCCATAGCCAAAAACAGTCCGAAATCAAAAAAATTTTGACAAAATATCACAATGACAGGAATTCCTCGTGCCCTGACGAAAATGCATACTAGGATGTTATTAGATAAGGGAAAAGGAAAACAAAAGATATGCTATGACAGAAAAATTAACAATTTCAAACTAGAAATAGGTAACTTAGTATTATTAAAAAATGAAGTAGGACATAAGTTACAAAATAAACATTTAGAACCTTACAAGACCATAGAAACTTGGGATAATGATAATGTTGAAATCAAAGCTAATAAAAATAAAACTCAAGTTGTGCACAAGAATAGGGTAAAATCGTATGGAGAAACAAAATGAAGTACTAAATGTAAGGGCCCTACATAAATAAATATATATAGAAAAACATGTAAAAATATATTCATAAGAAAGTATTTATAAGAACCCATTGTTAAGGATATAAAAACAATAATTAAAGCACCCAAGAATGATCATTTTATTGTAAAGATCATTTTCCCTAAAACGAAAGGAAGCATTATTGCTTTGATCTATTTGATTCCATTTTGTTTTACTTATTTCTATTTAATTTAATTTATGCAAGCTTCACATATTACAAAACCCTACAATTATCATAATCTAATTTAGCACAACTCTAATTGTAAGCAATAACCTACATTTAATAACCTAGTTTAGCACGGCTGTAACTTAAACCAATAACCTACATTATATAGTAACCTCGATTTATTAAATAGACTAGCATAAGGGCAAATAAAATAAGTTACGAGACGATCGATTCGTCCACATTACTTGATGAAATAAGCTTTAATGTCCCTAACCGCTGCTCTAGGCACGTTATTTTCATTAAGCTTAGTCAATAAATGTAAATATAATTTTGAGCTGTTTAACCCGTTCAGAGTTGCTTGCAGACACCTAAATGATCTCTATCGCTTAATCTCAATAACGGACTCTTCAAAGTCTATCAAAACATCTTTGCCTAATACGCGCGATTTGCCTGTATTGTATTTAACCTAACTTTTAACCTTAATATCTTGTTATGATCCCTAAATTAACTGTGGTTTACTGTATCGGTCGCCAAGCTTTCATTTACAATGTGATTCTGCATTTGTTGTGGGTGGGCTCCTGTGCTAGTTGTGTACATACTTTTTTTCCTTTCTATTTATTTATACATGAATTATTATTTAATGATTATTATGTGTACATATATTTTTCCCCCTTATTTCTCCTTATATACTTTATACTAGATTTTAATATTAATTAGTGTAAGATTAACTTCCAAGAGTCAATTGAATTCGACTGTCAATTTGTTTGAGTTGAGTTTCATGCATAAGTAAATAAAATCGATAGATAAACGCAAATTTACCTCTAAGCAATAGTCAAAAAATCAATAGACAGAAAAAGTCATCAATAAAGTGAAGCATAACTATTAAATAAACATTTAACAAATTTGTCGTGTATCACTAGTTTATTTGAGTAAATAAATTTGAGTGAATTTGATACAGTAGAATAGTTCAACGAACCGTCAGGACTGTAGTGAAAAGAAATACGAATTTCTGGATGATACGGATCCTCAGGTAAGCTAAAAGGTGAATGGCGATTTACATCTATCTCCGAAAAATTAACAAAGCGAAGATTAAGTTTGCCATTACGGTTACGAGTACGCTTTTATTGAAGTAAATTACGATCAAACCATTTATTGAAAAACACAATAGCTCTATCCGATGTTAAAGTGGGGGCCGTACGGCCAGAATTATAGCTACAACATCGAATGACTTGTGGTAAATTGAAGTCCATCAACGACTATATCAGCAAGTTTAGACTTTTCGGCCAAGTCCCAAATGAGGGCAGCATATGTCCCATAAATAGAGGTTCCTGTTTGGGGGAATATGAAAGCTAATTGCATAAAATTATTTACTAGCAATTCTTGCCCGAATAGCAATAAATTCAACGCCAGGAGGAGTAAGAAATTCAAATGAACACGGCGGGGTTGCACCAGATGTGATAATCAAAACCCCCGCACCAGTGCAGTCCAATCGACCCTTTCTGCAAACCTGAAAAGAATTGTAAAACAGCTCCGACGCATGTAAATCAGGCTTTAACCAGGTCCCAGTGGAAGCAAAAGCGAAAACTCCGTACTCACTGAATTTAGGAGAGTAGGGCGAATTTCTGAGTTTAGGCCCATACAGTTTTGGTAAATAAAAGTTACTGGGCCTGAAGAAACATTTAGTTTTTTGAGGATGGAGCTAGGATTACGGCGACCATCACCAGGAATGAATTCCTATAGTAAGAATCCAACTGGCCACAATGCAAATTCTGCAAAATTTCCTTGTTTTCAGTCGGAACTAACACCTTCAGAAATAAGATAACTAACACGCTTCAAATTAGCGGGCGGGGTTTTTGCACCAAGACAACTTTTTATGATACCCTCAGAGCGCCAGTTTTGACACGAATATTGCGTTTCTAGGGGTACTAAGGGGTTCACAGGTAGAGAATGTTGAGTTGGACTACACTTGCCTCTGCGACTTCTCTAGCATGGTGACCAGCGGATAAACCTGAAGGACTAGGGGCATAAGTGTATTTACTATTTTTGCTAGAATTCTTTGGAAATGTAGGCAGACTAAACTGCGTGGCACCACCAGGAGGAGATACCCTTGCCACTTCAACATAGCGAACACGAGGGAAGCTCTCCGCCTTATTTGTAAAATTTGTATTACCAGCTGAGCTTACAATAGAAAAAACCCTAGTGTTCTTTGTAGGCAAGGATGGAGCACTCGAAGCCTTAACTGGGTTTAACAATCACGGTTCCACAAGCTTTGTCGTGTACGATGAGGACGAAGAGGAATGGTGACGAACAACATGGATCGACGTATGCGATTTAGGCCAACACGATGTTTTTAGTGCAGCACGTTACATTACATGTTAGTGTTTTACAGACTGGAGGAGAAGGTGAGTGTTCTAAGTAGTCACACTCATCGAAAATTTTTTTTTCAAACTTTCCGCACAATGTCACGAGATTTTTTATTAAAAATGATTCCCGGCTGACCCCTTTTTCGACCAATCCCCATAAAACGCCTTATATGGGAAACAATAGCAGTTCTCAGGATTTTTTGATAAAATTCGCTGATTAATAGTATTTCGATATTCCAAATAAGTACGAAAAATTTGGTTTGGCTGAATCCCCTCTCGTGCAACTGTTCCTAGAAAAATTCAAACTTTAAATAAAAATATAGTTTTGATGGTGAAAATTGCTTCGTAATAGTAAGCTAACCAAAACCGAATTTTGACCACATAGATCTATTTTCTGGATACTACCGCTTATAAGGACGCTCAGCAAGTGTAAACCTTTCCAAGCCAAAAAGGCTTTTGCCAGTAATTTAGGAATAAAAATTGTGTGAATCAAATTTGATCCACACGGGTCTTTTTTTTGGGATTCACTCCGTATAAGCATTCTGACGAATAATAAGCTCTTCAGAAGAAAGTACAGTGTTTTACATTTATGGTGTTTTATATTTATGGTGTTTTATATTTATGGTGTTTTATATTTTATGGTAATATCTAATGATCGGCTTTGGCGGACTATAATGTCCTCACTCTTTGTTTACATTTCTTTACACTTTATAAAAATAGATTCTATTTTTAAGACATTCTAAACAATAAGTCTAAACAAAAATTTTATTCCATTGAAACTGATTAACTTATTTATGTCGCCCAATTCATCAAAGAATGATTTGATGCTAAACGCCGGAGGAGAACAAAGATCATTCATTTAGTCGAGCAGTACATACTTACCCTAAATGGACACCGCAAACTTACCCAAAACAGAGATAGAAAGATGTAAAACACGAAAAACAATATCTTGTTATAATTTTAATGTAATAATATATTATTTATTATTTTATTCTCTTAGTTTTCTTTTTATTTTTCCTTTCTTTTATTTAATTATTTTTTCTGCAATATTTTAAATTAAACGTATTTTTTTTTTCGAAATTCATTAATATTTTCTTTTTCTTTCTTCTCTTGTTCCAAGAATCTTTTTTGCCTTTTATCTTCATTTACGGTAAAATTCTTCTCTTTTTGTTCTTCTTTTTTGTGAGTTTTTATCTTCTGTTCTTCAATTTTTTTTAATTTTTTCTTTGCATCTTCTTTTTAGTTTTACTGTTTTTCTCTCCGGTTCTGTTTCTGTGTTGACCCTTTGTTAACTCTTTTTTAACAAATCATTTTTTTCCTGTTGGTCGACAACTTTTTTGTTGTTTTGATATCGGATGGTTTAAAATAAAAAGGTTTACAGTTTTTTTTTTGGTGTACATTCAAAAAACATTATTGGCCACATTTGTGAAAATATTATTTCTCTAGTTGACAAAGAATCGTCCATTTCGTTATCTTCATTTTTTACTTTTTTTTTTTGTTTTTTTGGGAGGAAGGATGTTTTTTTGTTTTCTTTCTTTTCTCGCCGTGCTCTCGCTTTCTTTTTAAATCATTATTTTTTTCTTTTTTTGCTCACGAGTCTTCTTTTCTTTTTTCGAGTATTTCCTTTTCAAGCATATTCTTTTTTAGTGTTTCTCTTATTTATTTATATATTTTTAAGATTTTTTTGGTTCTCTTTCTTTCTCTTTTCTAGTTTCTTAGAAGAATGGCAATCACATAATGTTTTTTGAACTGATTACATATATTGTAAAAAATAATCTGAAATCAAATTAAGTGAGTTTAAATGAAAGGTAATACGCACACATATTATAAACATAAAAATGAAAAATAAAGGCACTTGGTAACAGTGGCGTGCAAATCTTTTTATGTTATACGTAAATACAATTAAAAACAGCACAAAAATGTGCATTTATTATAATACATACATAATTAAATCAGTTTCGCTATAATAACAAAAAATTATCAAAGGCGTCGTATATTTGAATTTTTTGTATATCGGATCTAATATCGGTCCATAGCCCAAATATTAATGCCCTTCCCGTAATTATTAACAAGGAATGTTGGATGATTGGAAAACGTGTGAGAATCTCTATTTAAGTCATTCTGGATATATCGAGATTTCAGCTCCCTAGCCTACATACGTTTCGAATTAATGTGAAATTTACAGTCGATTCGGTAATGTCTGCTAGCCATAATGTCTGATATTGCTTGCGTTGGCAGTCCTTGTGCTATTACTTAATAAAATTGCAAGAACTTTTTAAAACAAAGTCTTGGAACATTCTGTTTCTCAATCTGCTAATTAATAGCCTCAACATATTTTTCTACAATATGCACTCCGTGCCGGATACACCGAGGACGGCCTTGAAAGGTTACAGGCCTCAAAACCATATTTGGACCGACAGCACGTCATCACTGGAAACTAATCAAGAAAAACGGTAGAGATAACATATCATGGAATAGTGTTTTCAATACTGGCAGAAGCCCCGTCAAGTTGGAAAGTCGTAGTTTTCCTAACTATCAGCTCAGTTTTATTAGTTATGGCTGGCAGCATACCCCAACTACACTTGAGTTTAAAGTAAGACTGTCCCTCCTCCTGCGAAAGTCATGAATACACACCGGTCACTGTTAATGGCTGGCCTAATGGGGTTTTACGGTTCTCGTTATCGACCAAACTCGACCTCGAATTTGGGTTAATAGTTCTCGTTAATGAGAATTGGGTAGATGGCGATCGATCACGTCTGAGTATTTACTCATATGGAATGCAAAATGTTATATTTTAACTCGAAACCAAGACAGTTATCGAACGTGATGTGCAAAAAGCAAAGATTACTTTATCTCATTAATTCAGTACAGTACCAAGTACGGTGATTTATGGATTGACAGCGGAACAGAGCCTCTCATTGAGAACACTCTGCCACATCAGTCTACCTATGCTTGGATTTTTTCATCAATCGCTCTCAACTTCGTTTCTGGATTATGGATCTAACATTAACTTAACTGGTCCAATCCATCTCTAAACAAACAAAAAAAAAAAAAAAATTAATTCCAAAATATTGGAAACAATAATAAAATCAGATATCTAAGCATCCTTTTGAATGCTTTTACCTGTTAGTGCCGTCAAGTTTCAAAAGCAATAAATAAATATGAGAATTAACGAAAAAATTTGTGTGGACGACAAAAAGTGGAAATATAGGATTACTATAGACGAAGTGAGCACCTTGGCACGTGTACGTATTCCTTGCATTTTCTTCTTATACACACGCCGATGATATCATAAATATTCATAATCATATGTGAATACAGCGGACGAGAAGCGAAACTCGGCACGCTAGCAATCGAATACAATAAACCCAAAACACGATTTTATCGCGCGACAGCTGGACAACGAGAACTGTAGACCGTTCTCCTGGTCAGATTATCATTTAATGCAATCGTAATATTTGTCACGTTCTCTCTTGAACGTGCACTAACAATGCAATTCTCAAACTCTCTAAACAAAATTTTAACCTAGTGTGTTGTATAGTATATTGGTTGATCAGTTGCGTAGATCGCAGCTGTAAATAGTATACTATTGATCTACCCGAAATAAGTTCAAACAAATTTTTTTTTTTCGTCGCATCTGCCATCGGTTACGTCGTCTTTTTGAAACCGTCACTGAGAATGATGCTATATTATCACAAGAACAATTTTGTGATAACAACTATCGAATATAACGAATTTGGTTGTAGTGATGAAAATAGACTAAATAGTCGGCATGAACAACTTGAAGCTAAAGATTGGATAGACAATTCGATCATGCATTGAAAGATGTAGAGACTTTGTATCATCTGCCACATATTTCTCCATAATTCAGTGTTTTACGTCATTATAAGCGCGAATGTAGCCAAAATATTTTAATTTTGAAATGTAATCTTCTAAATTTTTAATAGGATTTTACGGACCCGATGGTTTTCTTGCATATGTTACGAACGGAGTGACAGACTTTTATCTTATTTTTCCTGGCAGCGCATTATATCCTACATTGTACGTAAAAGTTAAAGAGGATAGAATGGAATGAAAATCGCTTACAGGAGACTTACAAATTCTTGTTCTTTGCCAAAAGCTCAATTGAAACAATTTTTCGTTTGACCTTTCAAATGAATATTAAACATAATTAATAAGGTTTTTATTGTACTTCTAAGTTTTGATCGACTTTAGGTGGCCGTTCAAATGAAGACCGAACTTCGAAAATAAGTCGTCATTTCGATTTATACATAAAAGCAGCGATAACGACTGTTCGATTAATTTTCAGTTGGATCACATGAAAGATTTGAATTTTACAGTTCCCTTCAATATTGACTTTCTTAGCTTGAAATTACCACATAAGGAGAATGAAAATGTCATTAAGTAAAAGTTTAAATAACTTAGGAAAGGTTTAGAATGCACCTTTTATGAGCTTATCTGAATCTTAGGAGGACTTTATGTCATAAATGAATTACTGTTCGCTCTTCAGGAGGAGTATTACAAGATAACATAATCTACAAAAATTCTTCAACCTTCCGCTTCTCCTATCAATACATAAAAATAATTTAAAAATATTGCAAAGCTTTTTGACTTAAATTTTTTTAAATAAAATATATTTTAAGGAAAGGCTCAAGGAAGTATGGTTCCAGATACTACCTCAAAAAAAAAAAGAAGCGAAATTGTTTCAAAAACCCAAAAAGTAAGAAAACCGAATTGATGCCAAACGTTCATACTTATTACCTGAGATACATCATAACATTAAATTTCACCGATTAAGATGAGCTCACACTAAGAAGCCCTTATTAAATACATTCTGGAAATGTTTGTAGTAAGTCCTGGATAAATGTTTGCGGTGGACTACGAATCAAAACTTGTTCATTAATTCGCGCATTAATAACTCCGGAAACTTGAAATGTTTCTTGCAAATATTTGAAGCTACAAGGCTTTAACCATTATGATCTTCACTACAGCCGCATTTTGCTAATTTTCAAACTGGAGATTTAGCCATTAACTTGGAATATACATAGGCGTACTCAGTTTGAATATTTTAACTCAATTTTTAGTCATTTCACGGTTTTTCACGATATATCTTCCTTAATTAAGCAATTTAAAATCTATCAGTGAAAAAAACTGCGGACTCTCTAACGACTATTTTCAGCTATTCAAACGTGGAACAAATCCAGCAAGCCCCCAATCTTCGTTGACGGGTGTGGTATGGAAATGTTGAGTTCCCATCAACCAAAAAAAATTCGATTTTCGCGTATTCGCTGATTATTCCAAATTTATTCTAACAAATGGCAAAACAGAGATTAAAGGATGGAAGTCATTTAACGTTAATTTATTTCAAATACAGTCAATGTTCCATAATGTGGGAATATTTATTGCCAATCCATGTTCAAACTTTGTCTATATTCCCAGAATAAGGAACTTTGATTCAGTTCCTCGCGCTGATTAATGCATATGGGTGTTAGAAAACATCTTATGTAACAAACAGAATGACAACAATATGTCTCTCAGCTCGGTGGTCGACATAAAACTTGATTAATTTTGTGTTGCGTTTATTTAAAGGCGAGGGGGAAAGTAGGGAAAAATTTCGGCTCACGACTAAAAAAGCCTTATTTTGTTTAGAAACTAAAAAAGTGATGACTAAAGACTTTTTGTAAAGCAATCTAACCCAATAGATTTTCTTTCTACCAGAGAATTCTATTCACATTAACATTGTTTGCTTCATAATTGGGATATATATTCAGAATTAATTTTAACGTCGGTTTTAAGATAACAACCCACATTTGTTTACGCGATGTTCCTAGTCATTGTTGCAACACATAAATATACATAAATATTCCTATGAAATTTGTTTTTTTCGTTTTAAATACAATAACATTCAAAGCTGCAATCCGAGCTGCCAGTTCTACAAAGTGGACAAATTGTTCCCCGCTTTTCTACATCAACCCAGCTTCATTTAATGTCAATAAACTTTGCAAGCTATTTATATACTCTAATAATATTATTTATATACTCTAATAATATTAATGTACATATATACATATATAAATATATATTACTCATAGGTTTGAAATATTTTATATTTACTTACCATAAAAGTAAGGAAATAATGTTAATCAGTAAGGAGCATAATAATTAACACGTCCACGATAACCTCTTCTGAAACCAACAGAAAAAGGTATTAGTAAGGGAGTACTATACAACACAAACGAAAATAACTTACATGGGGCGACGTGTGCCACGGAAAGAAGTATGGCAGCAAGCTCTTGATATACGTGCGCCACGCCCGCGGAAAGTTCCCCGTGGGAAACGATTAGTTGTAGAAAGGCCAGGCCGATTGGTACGTTTCGACATAACCTAAGATCGAAGCGTTAGTACAAAATATTCAAATTATTCAATCATTTTTGTCTTTACCTTAATTTGTCGACCGCGAAATAATGTTTCATTCATAGCCAAAGCAGTCTCCACAAATTCTTTGGAACCGAATTCGATATAAGCAAATCCCTTAGGATGGCCGTCGGCTTTATTGCATAAAATGGTGACACGATTTATTGTGCCACAGCCATGAAAATGTGCTTCCAATTCTTCGGCAGAAGCTCCATAATCAACATTACCCACGTACACGGAACGTGTATCAATTTCCTGTTTCTCTTCTAAGGACAGCGGTACTGTAGCTAGGCCGGTCGTTGAACCAGCCATTTGTTTATCCACTTCAGATTGCATTTGTTTAATTTTTTCAGCTTCTTCTTCCATTTCTTTAACACGAGCTTTAATTGCTTCTAATTCAGGATCAATTTGCATATTGGTTTCGTCCTTTATTTTTATTAGTAAAATAAAACAAAAAATAAAATATTTTAATTTTTAGGTTTTAAGCACACACGCCCCAAACAAATTCAAGCAATCCTTACTATCGATTAACAAACAAAGGTTTGCCAGACAAAACAGCATCGTCTGGGATTGTCTGTACATAAATTTATACGTCGTTTTTTTTTCTAAATCAGAAAGCTTTTGCTCAAAACTCGTTTTCTTCTTTCTTTATTTTCTTGCTTTTTTTTTTCGTTTCTTCTACTTCTACTTCTATTATATTTTGTTCATTTCAATAGAGAACCTGTTCTATGATGGTTCGTGAAAAAAATCTCTTACCTCATTTTCATTCATGAGTTCAGCTTCGTTTTCTCCGTTCGCTTCGTCCAAATTTTCCAAAAGTTGATCTTCATTTAATGATAAATCTTCATCTGCCATTTCAAATTAATAATAAAGAAAAATACAAAAATCACGTACAATTGTGTACAAAATTCTCTCTGTTAACTTTTTAATAGGAAAGAAAAGCTCTACGGATGGATATATAAAGGAATCCCTCTCAATAATTTACGGTAGCGTCCTTTCTTCTTCTCGGTTTTCTTTTTTCCCCAATGACGTTTTTTTTTCCTGTGCTTTTAGCGCTTCTTCTTTTAGTAGATTTCGCTCAGCAACGAATTTGCTCAAAATGGTGCTGGTTGCTTATTGATAGAACTGTGAAAAACACGCGACAGAAATTAGTTTAACACAATTGAATATATAATTTCACTTCAGCTATCGCAAGAAATCATTCGTAAGTGAATTATAAATTAAAACGTTACCGTTTTTATAGTTATATACCTTGTCAAATGTTTGATAGTTCGGAAATTTTCTACTGCTTTTTTTCTCTTTTATCAAATTAACACAATTCACTTAAATAACTCGCCGCTATTTATGTCAAACAAAGTTGCCAGACGTAAAAATATTTATGACAATTTCGCATTGATTATTTCTACAACCTCTAAATGGATTGGTAGAAAAGTTGGGGATAAGTAATATAACAAATTGACAAAAATATGTTCGTCATTACTTTCGTGACAATTTAGGTTTTAATATCGATGAGGAAGTAGTGTGAGATAATAGAATTTAAGGCGTATTAATAGATAGTTAATAGGTATTATTTACCTAAATTTCAGAATGAAACAAAGCTATATGTTTTATTCCTCGTTAATGTTAATCGAATAAAATGTTTTTATAAGAAACGAATTGTTGCCAGGTTATATATGATTGGCTTGGCAGTACGTGGCTTTGGTATTCTATTGTCTTGTGTTTACGTTTGTATCGCTTTTTGTTCTTGCTTTCCTTTCATTTCCATTTTGCATAAAAACAGAGATGTTAAGCGATGCATAGTCCAATAAAAACAGTGTTAAAAACGGACCCAAAACATGATATTAAAATATGTTGTTTTTCTTTTCAATATATATATAATATAACTTCTATGATAGTAAAAGCGGTTGAAATTTTTATTTATTATTTATTAAGAATTAAATATTAAAAATTGTACAATTTAATATTCGCGTAAATGGCATGCAAATGAAGTTGTTATGGAAAATAGAAATACATTAATTTGGTTCCATTTCTCTATTTAAACGCAACACGCGGCGTTGTTTACTCCTACGCCACGATACAGCCACTCATTCTGACGTTATTAAAGTAAAGTAATATTGTTTTATAAAATAGACCGAAAAAGATTGAAGAATTGTTGGAGACACTTGACAATTTTTATTTGGAGAAAAATCCTCGCACACCCACCAATAGCAATAAATATTTATAATAGAGTTTTTCTATTTATTGAGTTTGCATAATGAGTGATTCTGAATATGAGGAAGAGGAGTTTTTGGTATTTGCCGATCTCAATAATCAATTGTCTACCACTGAATTGGCTGAAGAAAAACCGTCTATTAAAATAATTGGGCTCGACGAGAAAAACCCGTTAGCGGAAATAAATGGCAACATGTTTCGAGGTATTCACAAATTTTAAAGCAAGGATGACTCTGGTTCTGAAATATGGACTGATTTGATGGAAGCAATAGAACATTTAACAACTTTTATTTGCTCAGGTACTTACGATTTCGCCATGGGAACCGAAGTATTTTTTGAAAAAGACTTGAACGCGCCTCCTTCGGATCCCCTATTTGAAGCTGTGTGTCGTCAAAAGTATAAAGTGTTTGGGAAAACAAATAAAGTGATAAACTTCCAGCGAATTTATGTGGGAAAACCTGTAAACTCAGATGAGAATATGGATGAAGTTGGACAACCGGATGATGAGCATTTAAAATTAAATATGACCTATGAAGAAGTTATGAAGCAATTTCCATCTATGAAGGATTTATAAAGAGGCTACAAATTACAATATATTTTGTTGAAAGTCAATTTAATGTTCATTATTCCTTTTGAATGTTTGCGTTATTTCTGTTTTATAATTTTAGATATTTTTCCATTTAAACGGGAAGGATGGAAGATATTCTAGGACAGGCTATGCGGCCGCCAATTAACTTAAAAGAATTTCTTAAGAATTACCAAGACATACTTAAACCTCCTTACACCTTACCAGTCACAGACATAAAATTACAAAAGTCTATGAAGTTGTTGGAAGACCATGAGCGTTTTCAAGAGGCTGAAGAAAATTGTTCTTTGGAAATATTGGAGACTTCTGATGATGCTCGAATAACAGACTTTATTCCGGGTTTCACAGAACTACCACGTAAATCTATTACGGAACTCCCTACAGATGCTTTGCCATTGAGAACCGTGACAACTTTGCTTAAATTGAAAGAGAACACGCAAAAAAATCCCTTTCAACGTTCCACCGATATTTACTCATTGATCAAGTTGCCAACTGCAATAGCTGAAAAGGAAGAGTACACACCCGGACAAGAATTAAAAATCTATATACGTGTTTATCGCCCTGCTCGAGCAACACATGAACATCGTACTTTAGAGAAACCAGTCTTGGCTGAGGAATTTGAATGTTTGGGATCAAATTTCTTAACTGAACTGCGCGATAAAATACAATGCGTTTGTAATCATAAGCGATTCTTTGATATAAGTGAAAATCCAGAGGCACCTTTGCCGTCAAAAGAAACTGAACCAGGATATTTTTTTATAACTGATACATTCTATAATGACAAAAGAAATCCTTTAAATGCCGACTATTCGACGAATATACGTGAATGGGCTCGAAATGCCAAGGGCTTACAAAATGTAAAATTTAAAACGGCTCTCATGGAGGAGACACGTTTTATCGATTTAACAGTTAGTTTGGGATTCCCGCAACATTATCAACACCATGGTAATTGTGAGCATGTCTTCGTGTTCTCTCAATTAGAGGTGATAGCTACACCAGCAACGCAAATGTTGCCGCGTTATTATTACCCGCGATTGAAATCTTACAGTCATTTTAATAATCGTTTATGTAATACTTGTGGTAATTTACATTTTGTCTATGTAGTTGAAGGGAGTAATCGCCAAGTGCATGATCCGGCTTATATGTGTAAAAAATGTTTCCTCTCCTATCATTACATTGATGGGAAAAAAGTTGGCCAATTTCGTGCATATCGTTTGATTGATTGCAACAACGAATCAGAAGAAATGAAAGATGAGGGAAATCCTGCGGGATCAACTGTCGATGTAGATTCGATGGATAACTTAGCAAGTATTTTAGACGGATCCTATGAAGAAGAAGATGATGCAGAAGCGAGTAATGCAAGGATTAAGGCAGAAGTTAAAGCCAAACAAAAATAATGATACGAAAAATTACGATTGCATGCAAAATGAAGTAACTTTATGAAAAAGAAACGACGGTAATTGTAGGGCAATTGTAAGAAAGCTTCGATAGTTATTTAATTTTATAAAATTTTCGATATAATAATAATAATAAGTGAAAAGATATTTAGATGAGTTTTAGAATTATGTCAAGTATCGGTAGAGAGTGTCTACTTCTCCTGGCTTATGTGTTTAGCTTTATAAATATTTAAGTGTATTCTGCTGTCGTTGGAGTTGCTGTACATTTATGCAATTTGCAGTTTTTTACTTTCCAAGACCGTTTGCTTCCCTGGCAATATTGAACATGCATTTTTTATTACCATTGAACTAATTCGGTTAATTGAATTGAATTGTTCCAAATCAATTACCGAAAGTGGTTATTTGGTCCCTTAGAGACTCTCGAACATGCTATGGATTGCTAGAAGGTGACCAAATACACGATAAATATGTTGAATTTATAAATATATTTCTAGGTTATTATTTCTAGGTTTTCAAATAAAAGTTTTTCGTAAATTTTATATTCTACTTAAAAACTCTGAAAGTTATGTTTGGTGCGTAACCGCGCATAGTAAGGTTTCAAGTGATATTTCCGTAAGATTACTTGCGTTTAATTGTCGGTCGAGCAGCCACTTGAAATTATTAATTCAGTCTATATCTACGTTGATAGTGTAATGAGATTTTTAAACATATCAGTGGATAACGAGCCGGAGCGCATGATTGTTTTTACATAAATTTGAATAACGCACCGATACATAACTCCAAAACACGCAGATTGCTATGATTTCGATGATAAACAAATTTTAGAAAGCGCACAATAGATCCATACATAATACAAAATAAAAGTACATAAAAATGCGGAGTAAAAAGTGCCCATTTGTGGTGCCATAATAAAATTTCAATAAATGCATATTTTCTTGTGTAATGTCTCACTGTAAAGCACGTACATGGGCCAGTTCATCTTCTGCGAGAAATACTTCTTTCTCAACAACCGAATGAAATTAACAGAACTGTAGCGGACATTTTTCATTTAATACAAGTTCAGCTAAAATTTCTCGTTTAAGACGATCGCTTCGAATTTTTCTTATTTAACAGAATCCCATCGAAAATTTCCACCACGATATTTTCGATATTTTCTCATTTAACGGGAATCACCGCGGTGCAATTTATTGAAAGTAACTCTGTGCTCTCTCCATTCCTAACATATGGTATTTTTTTTATAAACGATGCAAAGGAAAAAAACTAGCTAACGGCGTTTAGCGAAAAATCAGAGTCATTTTACAAGTGTACAAAGAAGTTGTACGAGGTGAACAACTGCGAAAAAAGAATTAGAAAAATTATGAAATATCGAAAGAAAATATAAAAGAAAGAAGTTTGAGGAAAATTATATCAAAAATTAGCTCTAGGTCCAGTACCCGCTCGAAGTTCGTTAGATGTTCACGTAGTCGCAGCGCACCGGGCTCGAAATCTAAGTCGATCTCATTCTAGATTGACACACCCCAGCCGATCTAGATCGAACTCGCGCTTCCATTCACGATTGCGTCCACCTTCAAGACCACCTTCCGAGCGTAGCACTTTAATTCCGCCCATGTATTTTTCTTTCTTTGATTATAATTTTAAGCGAATATTTGTCTCTTTGAAACATTGAAGTATATTAAATGAAGATTCATTTCATTATTTACAATATAAGTAAGGGTCCATAAACCTTTTCATAAAGTAAAAAAATATAGCAACGTCACACAGCATTATTAACTTGTCTTACCGAGAATTTCGGAATTATCTATAGTATAGTCTCCTACAATACACGCCATGGGTTTCGAATAAAGCAACACAAAGCAATCATCGATTTTTTTAACATCCAAATCGGCATCCATATCCGGGAATTGCTCTTTCAGTTGTGTGAAATACTTTATAGACATCCATCTAAAATACAAGTTTATGCTTACATTATTATGCTTACAAATGGAAGATGGGCGTATACTGCTTGAGAGATCCTATAAAGTACATATATATTCCTGATCATGAAATTCTGAATTGATTAAATCACTTTTGTCCGCCTGTGTTTTCTGTGTTCTTGACGCCCTCCTCTTCGCAAGAATGAAGATATCGACTTCACGCTTGCCAGTAATATTGAAAGTTTCTGCACGCAGTTTGGTGTTGAAAATGGGCCAATTTGATTAGAGCACAAGCCTGCAGCAAAGCGTAAATTGAATGGAACTCTGCTTTGCTCAACAAAAATGTGTGGTTCCTTGCTCATGTGGTTGTCAAATAAAAAGACTTCGTGAATGAAACACGCGAAGCTAAGTGTATTAAATCTACATTAATTACGGTGGGTGTCACGACGTCGTGAATTAATATTTCGGTTACAATACCGATGATATAGGTATTAAGTAAAAGTGCTTTGAGATTAGATGGATTTTTGTTAATACAGTACAATAAATAAAAGCATGGATCGCCAAAGATTTTAATGGTGGTGGGTATACCAGATTCGATCCCAGCAAAGTATAAATTTCCTATTTGTTTCAAGTTAATCTGTCAGTGCCAATGGGCGTAACACTCCATGGTAAGCTTTGAAAAAGTGGATTCGAGCGGCAGAGTTAAGTTCGTTGAACGCAATTCTTAAAAACTCTCCTATGTGGTCATATTTAAACGCTGGTCACTCTAACTTATTTAACATACTTTCTTAGTGTTTTAGATGGATAACTTCTCCTACGAACAGTCGTTTTCGAACATTCTTAACATAATGGTTAACGTAGTAAGAATTTACTATAATTTAAATCGAGCCGTGGGTTTATTTAATTTACACTACGATCAAAAAAACGGAGAATTTATTTCTTATCACAAGCCAACGATCCTTTATTGCGCTTTGGTGGGCACGGCAATCCTGGCCCTGCTACCTTTCATTATGATAGTTTTTATTAAAACAGCCTATTATTGCGAACCGATTAAATCAATAAGGATCAATACTAGCCTTCTTATAATAACAGATCACGCCAGTATAGTAGTCATTTTGCTGACAAGCTGGTGGAAACGTCAAGCGATATGTTGTTGGTGTAATGCCTTTTTGAAGATGTTAGCACGCTTTGGTGTTTCAGACACTTATGAATATTACGGCATAGTGCAGCGAACCCGTAAACAATTGCTGCAGAAATTAGGTTTAAGTTCCTTTACAATTGTGCTTCTTTATATTTATCTGTACGGGACGGGAAATGGGAATTTTTGCCCAAAAACCAACGACATTAGTTATGTGTTGAAAAGTTTATTTTGCGGTCTCACTGAACTGATTGTTGTTTTAATCGACTACAATCTCTTTTTGGGCTTAACGTTAATGCATATGATTTTGCAAATTTTATTGAAAAAATTGAAAGAAATCTCACATGATATTCAACTTATGAAACGAATGCAAGAAGTCAGATATGAAATGAAAGAATGTAGGAAGACTTTCAACCCACACATGTGGTTGAAGCAATTGCAAGGGGATGTTGACGCTATAGCTATGGAGGTGGCAGAACTGAAGAAAATGATTTACGAGTTAGTGCGGATTTTACAAATGCCCTATTTATGCATATTATTGAATGCATTCCAAAGTCTCATCGCAATTATATTTCATATTTTGCGTTTCACGCAACAGAGAGACTTAGACATAATCACTGTAATCTTTTATTTAATCGTTTTATCGGCCAATATAACGAATTTAATGAAATCCTTTCAAGTCTGCGAGTATTTATGCGAAGACTTCAAGATTTTTAATGAAAAAGCTTATGCCTTAATATTAAGCGACAATTTAAGACAAGCGGTAAACGATAATCACGCAGACAATTCTCTGATTTTAAGCGTAAGTGGTTTCTTTTATTATTTCACTAATTGAAAAGTTTGCAGAGCGAAATAGTCCAATAAATAAGTTTCTTCCGGCCATTCGAATATTTCTTCATTACGATTCGGGAGGACTTTTTTGAAAAATTCGTCAGATAACGACTCCCCTAAGAGTGATGATATTTTGATTTGTTTTTCTGACCAAATAAAAGAAAAATGCCAGTTTAAGACGCATTGCAATAATAGGTACAATTTTGCAAATAACTCATCTTATTAGAAGCGTTTTCAAGTAAAGTAAGAAATATTATCGCAAATGATCATGTCAAGAATGAACTATCGAAATGCGTTTGAATTATTGCTCATTTCACGCCTTGCACTTTTCAATTCATTAATTTTAATATGAAAAGATTAATTTTTTCCTTTTTACCGCTATTACAGTTGGAAATACTTCTTCTCTATTTAAAACAACCTTTTCAATTAACCCTTTGCGGCATGTTTGAGTTGAATAACAACACTGGATTGTCTATGCTAAAGTCCGCTGGTTTGAATTTACTTTATCTGATACAAATTGTTCTAAGTAAAAACGAAATGTAAACGATCAAGGAGACAAAGGAAAATAAAATATTATTTATTATAATTATTATTAATTAATTTTAATTTTTGGTAAAGTAAAAACAGGTTAGAAAATCGAAGAAATTATCCGAAAAGAAAATTTCGTGGCATTGTTGGTATACGATAGCGCGATGGCTTCTTATGGGTAAAATGATCCTTGCGACGAATCACAATTAAGAGTAAATACGCATATATATACCGGCAAACTGCATCAAAGTTCGTTAAAAATTCTTGAAAGCTTTATTAGTTAATGGAGAAATGGAAAATTGCCAGAAGACAAAAGGCAGTAGACAACGTTTTCACTAAAAGTTACTAAATAGTATATAATGGTTACCTTAATAAACCTACTTTCGGCAAGAAAATGAGCTTAAGAAACAATCAAACCCAAAAGTGAGTGTGAAGATACCTTATGCGTTGTCTTAAAAGCAGGCTAGGCATGATTTAGATAATTGAACATAAAGAAAATATATATAAACGTATCGACCACTTCATACAACCTAGGTATTCACAGTTATTCATTCATTTCCTTAATAATACGCGAAATATTATGCATTATTTTCATGCAAAGATGTCCCGTCCGTCAGCTACCGCGGCAAACTTCATTTACTTGTCAAAGATTTCATTATTTTTCCGTCTCCTT